ATAATTGTACACAGTACACAAACAATTTAAGGCAGGATGTGGCACAAGTGAGGGGAATTTTAAGGCATACTGTTTCAGAATTGGCACAAGCTGGGGGAAATCTGAGGCTGGATCCAGGAAATGGATGAAATAATTCTCAGTCTGGGAGGGGCCAGCTCAGTAGGAAGCAGAGTACAAAGCATAGGAGATAAGAGTACATATTTAACGCTGGCCGAAGGCCGTCACTGAGGTTGTTAGACTGATTAAGACACATGCTCAGAGTTTCTATTTACAATAGACACTGTGCGTTTATGCTGAAGGCCTACTGTGTGCTGTAGTGGTGCTTTAAACACAGGAAATACCCAGCAGTGGACAAAACCCAAACACACAGCAATCCTCTTTGCTTCTGTTGCCCAAGTAGCTGGGATTAGATTAGTGGAGACCAGGGAGATCCTCATTCAAAAGACATCTTCATGCAGGAGCCTCAAGCAAAGGCTGGAACCCTGTGCCTTACATGTGACAAGAGTGCTCCAGGCAGCAGAAGCAGCAAGGCTAGAGCTGAGTCTAAGAAGTTGAGTGTACTCTGAATGTCTGGGAACTAGACTGGAGGCCAGTCTGCTGAGCCAAGTGAGAGGGAAGGGGAAGGGGAGAGGGAGCATCCAGACGACCCCCGCCCGCCGGCCGGCGCGGGAGGGGGAGGAGTTGGAAATGGGGTCAGAGGTATGGTGTAGCCTTTTTAGAAACACAGGGCCTGATTTGCGATTTCATGGCTTCTTTTGTCTGATTGACAGATTATCTGCCCCAGAGGTTGTCTCCTAGATGTAAAATGCCTCCAAAGGACCGAGGATGTAGATCAAGTGTGCTTGCCCTGCATGCCCAGGGCCTTGGGTTCAGTCTACAAAATTTTTTTCTCTTAATTTATGCAAGTGTGAACAACTTCCAGACTTAGGTTTCCTACTGTGGGTTCTGGGGCTGGAGTGTGGGAAATACTCTCAGCTTCTGAGCCATCTCATCAGACTTAAATACTTTAACAAGAAAACTGTGATGGGATAAACCAGTTCTTGAACAAACATTGGATTTGTTCTTAGGACTGAAATACTCTGATATTTATCCCTTCAACTTTATGAGAAATATAAGTTTAATAGACCTTTTCAAAATCCTCCACATATGTTTTTTGTGTGTGTGTTTGTGTGTATTTATGTGTGGTATGTGGTGTGTATGGCGTGTGTGTGTTAGGGATGGAACCCAGAGCTTTGTGCTTGCTAGGCAAGCTCTCTGGCCACTGAACTTAGTCCCAACCCCAAATGCCTTTTGACTTTAAGTTCAGATTCTTTCCCATAGAGTACATGGATCTGGTTTGGTCTGGCCTCTGGTCCCCTCGGCACTCCTCCCTTCCCATCCTTCATTCTCTACTTGTGTCCATTTCCTTTCAGATTCTCCAGCACTTTTCTTCTTTTTGGTTCCTTCATTTTCTCCTCTTTGTGTGTGTGTCAGATCTGATATCATCTCCTCAGAGGTCAACCCATCTAGAAGGTTCCATCTCCCTCTCCAGCTGCAGTTGCCATAAATAAGGCCTTATTTCCTTCACAGTATCCTCTTCATCAGTGTAACCCTTTAAAACTATGCTCATTGTTTGTCTCCCAGATGAGCTGGTAAATTGCACCATAGCAGAAACAGTATCTCATTTACTCTGCCATCCTCATACCTTGTCCAGTGCCTCCCACATCATTAACTGTATGCAGATTTAGTTAACTAAATCACCATATACTGTCTTATGGAAGAACAGTCCTTGGCAGACAACACCTAGGGTACCAGGGATTTCTACCTTAACACAAGTACTTGTCTGTATGCAAGAGAAGCTCAGACATTCCTGGAGCTGTGACTCTGTTATCCCACCACTCATTGTAGGACATGGTGATGGTGGTGGCAGTGTGGACATGATGACACTCGTAAGTACTGCTTTGGAGAGGTCTGTTACTTAGCTAGCTTCCACCTTCAACCCAGGACAGAAGAGATGCTTCTCCTAACCTCCAGCCAAGGGAGAGGAGCTGTGGGAGAAATACTTGGGGACTTTGACAGCATCTCCCAGTGTCTGAGAGAATGCAGGGACTTTGCTGAGACACCCAAGTTCCCAGGAGAAACTTTGTGAATATAAAACATAGTGCAGATAAGCCTTGCTTTTTCTAATTGCAGATTTGTAGATGTATGCATTTTCCGCAGAGAAAAAGGTATCCTGAAATCTTCCATTTGCTTTGATATATGTCAAAAATAAGACAGTTTAATGGAGAGACAGAGGAGAAGCTGGATGGAAAGCTATTGGCTATGAGAGTAAAAATAATGCCCTAGAGTTTGATGAGAGAGAATTCTTACAAGGTTGCCTGCCTGAGTCCCCAGGGCATCAAATTGAGAGTACCAATCCCCCAGAAGCTTATGACTATTGACTTGGTACTTACCAAGCACTTGTAATGTGCTGGGTGTTGGTATGAATGGGGAAGACGCTACAGCGTGGTAGAAAAAGAAGTTTCAGTAATCACTGGAGACAATGATAGTATTTTATACTTTCATAAAGACTGGGTTACAACGCCGTGTGCATGGTAGAGCTAGATGTGGCTACAACTTCATTTCTTTTGTTGTAAACTTTACATCTGAAGGCATGCGCATGTGTTTTAAAAATATATTAATCTATTATTTTTTTAATTAAAAAACTTTTTTCAGACAATGTATTTTGATCATGTTTTTTCCTCCCCCAATTCCTCCCAGGAGAAAACAAACGCTATTAGCCCATATCCCTTCAGCATTGGAGACTAAACAGAGTAAGTATAACTTGGCCATACTGCATCTTCCCTTCTGTCATGTGGACTGTCTCCAGGAAGCCAATTTCTTCCAAATTCCTCAGACAGCTTGTTCCTATATGTGTGACTGACTGTCTGTCGTCTGTCTGTCTCTCTGTCTCTGTCTCTTTGTGTGTATGTGTGTATGTGTGTGGTGTGTGTGGTGTTTCAGTGTCCTGCTAAGGGTTGAACCTAGATCCTCATGTATGCTAGGTGTTGTTCAGTCTACTGGTGAACTATATCTCTAGTAACCTGTTCCCTTTTTATTCTTGATTTTGGGCTAGAAGGTAAATTTCAGGCTAGCCTTTACCTCTAGCCCAGGTAGCACTTACATTCTTCCTACCAAGCAGCTGGAGCAGTGACCTCATCTCTGTTACAGCGTTGCTTGATCTGTTTAGGACTTGTTCTTTCAGCTCCACCGTCTCCGGTTTCAATCCCCATTCCTACTGAACTTACAGTACATCTCCTTTGGAATTTTTTGCTGTGTGTATCTCACCCACAGGACAGATGTGGCCTTTGCCCTTACCATGTCTCATTAACTGCTGAGCTTCCCAGTGATTAGCCTTGTACTTGGCACCTTGAATATATTAACATTTGTTCCTAAATGAAATAAGTCATTTGTATCATGTGTAAAATAGTTCTTTAAATTTATTTGTTTTATCCATAGATTTATTATTTTCTTCTAATAGCCAAAGTCATCCTTTTAGGATTACATTAAATTAATATGGCACTGTAACACTTCTTGTTTCTACAATTCTTACACTTTACCTAAATATTGGACTTAAAATAGTCTCAACAAGAACAATTTCAGTCACAAAAATCATACAATATGGAACAATATTTAGAGATTCTATATTTAAATTTCCTCTTACAGGGCCTTCAAAGAAGGGGGAAACATCAAATACTGTTCTACATTTATGACTTTTTATTCAGGTCGGGTGTCTTGCAGCTAAAGACCACTAGAAGGGACGTGGTTCATTTCATCTTTCTGTCAGAAAGGAGGAAGGGCATCTGCTAGCTTATGTAACTGCCCTGTATAAATAGCTTCGTTTTGTGGAACAACCTTAAATTCTTTCTGCAGTCACTGAATCCTGAGCAAGGGTGTGTAATAGATTCCAAAGAATCTAACATGTGTGTGTAATTGAAATAAAAGTGTGCATATAGTGGAAAAACAAAACCAAATACATGAAACTCTCCATGTACAAGCATAAATGTCTCTCCAGCCTGTGGTTTGCAGACCAGCCTTCTTATGTCCTGTTGATTTTATACATTCTTCTAAGCTGGCAGAAATACAGCTTCCACGCTAGTATAGTCAGGATCTTCACAGACCACCTCTCCTTGCAGAGCTGGGCTAACCTAAAAGGCTTTACTAACATCTCCTGAAGCGTGGCGACGAAGCAAACTTCTTAGACATCGCTTTCCCTTTTCCAGACATAGATCCCCTGACCAGCGCCCCAAACAGCAGCCAACTCTACTCTCTTTCTTCCCTGAAGTATATATAATTCAGCTGACTGACGTTATCAAGCCAGAACTCTAGTGGAGAGCTTGTGTGTGTTGGTGGCTGGCTAACTCCCCAGAGGGAATCTACCAGTAGGGTCTAGTTTCAAGGCTAACTCTAGTCTTTAAGGAGCTGATGATCTAAAGATTAAAAGGAACAATTCTTAACCATAAGGGGAAAGCAGAGGAGAAGATAATCGCTTCTTGGGTAGTTATGCAGATTCTGGGTACAAACAGAGTTCCAAATGGGCAAAGTCAACCTGGAATTGAGGCAAGATGTGAGTCTGGAACCTGGACAATAACACTAATTAATCATTATTTGTGGAGCTTTATAACAGGGCTTCTTTCCCATGGCTACTCTGTGTATGCAATTTATTTGTGCACTTTTCTGAGGGCAAAGTTGTTCGTTGTTTTCATTCTTTTAGAATCCTGACAGGATCACAGGACTACTGAGCAGCTACAAGCTCTTCTAATATCCCGAATAGGTTTTGTGTCCTGAGAAGTCTCTGAGGTCTCGGCAAAGTAAACACAGGCGTCCCGAGTTCAAGGCAGTCCAACCCTCCAAGGTAAATAGTCGTGGGAGCAGTGTGGTTTGAGATACCCAACCAGGCAGTGCCCCGGCCTTGGTTGTCCGCCAGTCACCCCCACTCGGGTCGCTCCTCCGCCATCCCCGCCCCTGCGCGTCTCCATTTCCTACTGCGCCTCCGCCCTTTCGGCCCTGCTCGGCTTCCGTCCCAGATGATCCCTCCCCGGGGCGGCCACCGCCTCCACCGCCTAGAGCTGGAGCCTCCTCCCCGGCCAGTGGCGTAGCCGAGTCGGCGTCTGGCCGGCGTTGCGGAGCGAACGGAGCCCGGGGGGACCGAGCGGGGGGCCATGGAGAAAGCGGCCCGCGGCGCTGCGCACACAGACTAGAGCCGGCGCCCGCCGCCGGCGCCATGGACCGAGCGCCGGCCGAGCAGGTACGCGAGCGCCCGGGCTGCTCTCGGGCCTCCGGGCCGGCAGGCCGCCTAAGCTGGAAGGCCGGGGGAGGTGGACCGGGGCCGTCTGAGCTCAGCGGCGACAGCGTTACCCTTGCAGCGGTCTGGCGTGTATTCCTTTTATGAAGAGACTACCGTGGTTTACCCTTGTTTTCCTGTCTAGTTACTTTGCAAATAATTATTCTTTTAAAATGGAGCAAGAGTTCATTTTGAGCCCATTTTCATATTCGCACAGTAGTTCCATTAGTGGTCTGTTTAGTGTTTTGATTGCATCAAATTCTTGCTGGAAGTGTTGGGAGGAAGGGCTAATAGCAATGTGAAAAATAACTTAAAAGAATAGTGTCATGCTTCCTCCTCCTCCCCGGTATTTTACAGCTTCCCTGGAAACCACTTAATTTGATTGTGATTTTTGTTCGTTGTCAATTTCCTTCTTTCAGGGCCTTGGTCAGTTAGTCACATAGTTGAAAGGAGAACACTGGTGACTTGCCTGTTAGTTTTGCAAATAGTTAATTAACTCGAGTAAAGGATATGCCATCTCCCAAGTTTCTGTGTGTGTTTGTTTATAAGTAGTTAATGACAGTTTTGATTCTGAATTGCACAATTTTCAAGCAAAAATACAGCTTTCTAATTTTGAACACTCGGTCGTGCCTGTTGTTGATTCTTGTCATGTTGTCCATTCTATCCTAGATCTTTTATGGGAGTTCTTCCCTACCTCAGCACTTTCCACAAGACCATTCCACACAGATTTAAAAAGAAAAGGAAAGCTTCGTGAGAATAGAAGTTTGTTTTTATTAAAGGGCGCAAATTACCAAGAGAGAATTGATGTGGGACCACTTGGTAAATAAACACTTCACTGTGGCCCAGATTATGTTACAGCTTGTAGCAAATTTAATTAAAATATTGTTTTTTGAGAGTTATTCTGAAAAAGAGAATCCAAGATTTCAAGCCTTGACAAAGGAAAAGGAAATTTCCTTGCACGTGTGTCTCTAATGAAAGGGTGGGACATTTTTGTCCTTTATGGACACTCAGGAAGCACTAATGCATATGTATACTCGCAGCTCCTTTCATCTTAGAGGAAATGTAATTACCTAGTTAGATGGTAACATTTAGCATAGCTCTCTGCATGTGATTATCCTAAGAGCAAGTGTAGCAGACTATTTAGAGAACAGCCTCCTCTGTCACCCCACAAACTCCACCATGTACTTAAACCCTTGGGAATCTGAGAGCTAGGAAAAGAGCTATGCAGAAGATGCAGAAGTGTTTTATATTGAAGGTGGGTTTTTTTTGTTTGTTTGTTTTTTGTTTTTTTAAACCTCCAGTACCTCTTGCCTCAGCTTGGCCTACAGTGGGGGAAGTACAAAACAGCCTTAGTTAGGTAAAGGCCTTCAAGAAGTATTTGTGATATGTGCCAAATTCCCATCCTCTCCCCTCCCCCAAGTGTTTTGGTTTTTCCTTTTAAACCATTGTTGGCTTATATTCAGAATTTCTGAAAATGCCTACAGCATTAACTGTTGCTGTGCTTAGCAGTTTGCATAAGTTAGTTTTTTATGATTGTACTTAGCATAGACTTGTTGCATTTCAAGTTAACCTAAGTAATGAATCCTTGGAGGACTGTATAAGGGTAACTTTAAACATTTGTATCTGAAGGCATTCATACTACTGTGTTTACATAAGCTCTTTTTATAAAAAGATAAGCCTTATATATGTTTATAAGGAGCAGTTCATTGGTGATAAAGTGCTAGATGGATAATCCTAATTGTAATAAGGACTGAAATCATCTTACAACTGGAAGAGCCTTTCCAGTATTGTCTTTTACCAAGACTATTAAGTCAAAACAAGTTTTAACTGTCAAGAGTTACCTGTTGTAAAACAGTTATTACTTGGTATGATATTTGTGTATGTGTGTGTCTGTGTGGGTCTGTGTGTCTGTGTGGTAGGCGTGGGGAGGTAAATGTGCATAGTGTGAATATATATAGAGGTCAGAGGTCGAGGTTGGGCAGATACCATCCTCCATTACTCTTTGCCTTACTTTTTATGGCATGGTGTCTCACTGAACCCAGGGCTCACTGATGCAGCTAGACTGGATCAGGGATCTTCCTCTCTCTGCTTCCCAGAGCTGGGATTACAGGTCCCTACCTATGATCTAGCTTTTTGTGTGGGAGCTAGGGAGCTAAATTCAATTCCAGTTTTCACTCTTACACAACAGTGCTTTACTGATGAAGCCTTCTCCATGGCTCTCTTTTCTCAGTAATAATGGTGATAATAAAGCTTGTGTAAGGGATGGAGGTATGAGTTATGGATTCATTTGTTTATAGCAATTCAGTGTCTCTGTGTTTAGGAAATCAGGCGTGTTTTGGAATTTTAAAATAAATAATGAGCGTAGAAGTGACGGGACACTGAGGTTCACAGGCTGTAGATAGTATATTGTCTCTATTCTCTTCTTTCATTCCTAGAAAAACAAACACAGAGAATTCTGGGGCTTTGGGCAGTTTTGTCACAAATAATAATGTAAGATGGGGCTGGTGAAATGCCTTGGTAAAAGTACTTGCTACCAAGTCTGATGACTTGGAACTCATGAAGAAAGGAAGGAACCGGTTCTAGAAAGCCTCTTCACCACAGTCCATATATGCATCACAAATACACATGAACATAAAATAATATGATAAAAATAAAAAATTGTTTGAACTCTTTGTGCAGCACTCCAAAGTCAAGGCATAGTCAGTTTTCCACATCTGTAGGTCCCTCATCCATGAAACAACCAGCTGGATCACAAATACATTGAAAAAAAAGTTATGTCTATACTAAGCGTGTGCAAGCTTATGTCTTTGTTGTGCCCAAACAGCACAGTGTAAGAGCTGCTTACATAGCTCTTGAATTTGTTAGCTGTTGTCATTAGTGGAGAGTCAGGTAAACAGTGCAGTAGAGGACGTAAATGACCTGTGTGTAAATATCACACTCACTCCATGACCTGATCATCTGTGGACCATCAAAACTGTAGTGAAGGTCCAGTACCTGTCTTGCACATTTAGACAACTGTATTGTTAAGTGTTACTATAAAACTTTTATTATCCATATTATCCAATAGCAATTGATGTTTTTATAAGAAGTTAACAAACATACTGTATTTTTAAAATAATGCTCTGAATCAGAGTGTATTCATTTGGAGAAAATATTTGGAAATTTAAGAAGATATTTTTAAGCCTTTACGTCTAAAACAAAATAAAAAAAGAGTGACATTAGAAAAATGTTAACTAAATATCAAAGGTCAAAGACAGAAAAATAGAATGGTAAGTTACTAGAAAAGTATAACTATGTATCACATGTAAACCATGGAGTATGTCTGACACACTATGCCACAGATGTAGTCATGAGCACGCTCTGTTACTGTAAACCATGGAATATGACTTAGGTTGTGCTCTGACACACGTGTAGTCATGAACACTGTCTTGTGTTACATAGTTTAAAAGGAAAATAAAATTACCTATTAAGGCAAGAGGTCAGGGTAGAAACTTCATATAAAGCAAACAAGAAAATAAGTGCAAAAGCAGAAATGAACAAGTTAGATACTATGAAAATTATTATTACATGTAAAAGGGTGGTTTTATTTTTGAAAACACCATCAAGTCATAACAGGCTTTAATAGTCCTGTGGAAAAGCATGTGGGTGGGTGGTGAGTGGTCGCACTAAATCCCCTGCCGTTTTCTTCCCTGGACTCTGAAGCCTTGAACATTGGCAAGTGCTTTGAGACAGTGCAGCCAGCCGGTATCTTGTGCCTCATTCATTCCCCCTGGAAGGTACTTATTTTATCTGTACCACAGGGTGTAAAAAGCATCTTCATGTTTGATACATTTTCACCTTAACATAGGATATGGAGGTTTCATGGTCTCTTCCTGTGGGTGTGTGGGACATACTCTTGAGTTTCTCTGTGGGAGAGTGTCTCATCATGTTCTACTTTAGTTCTGACTTTAGGTGGGTGTCACTTTTCTGTCGCCTAATCTGGGAGATTATTTGCATTCTCCTGGAGGCTTCTCTGAGGAGAGCCGCGTGGGCTCTTGGCTGCATTGTGCTTTTGACTGCTCTGCCTGTGTTCCCTGCTCGCCTTGGTGTAGTGCCTTTCCCAGCTTGAGCTAGGGTGGTTGTCATCTCTGTGATCCCAGTGCATGACCAATGAACTCTCTTAAGGAGGCATTTTATCCTTTTATGTTCTGATAACATCTTTGGTTTTCTAGATGATTTGTATAAATGACATTTTATTATTGACACTTGTTTTAATATGTACAAAGTTAAAAATAAGTGAAATGCATGAATATTTTCACAGACAGAATTATTCAGATTTTCCATTAATTTAGGAAATTCTGAAATAACTTGTGAAAGCTACTGCTTTATACTGAGTGGGGATTTGAAGCAGACAGTAAATAAAGGATGATTCTTCTGTCATGGGAGTTCCCACTGACTTTATAGTTTTTATTATATTAGTTTATATATATGAGTATTTTTGCTGCATGTTTGTCTGTGCACAGGTGCATGCCTGGTCCCTGTGGGGATCAGAAGAGGGCAATAGATACTCCAGAACTGGAGTTACAGGTTGTGAAGCCTCCATGTGGGTACTGGGAATTGAATATGGGTCCTCTGGAAGAGCAGTCAATGTTCTTAACTGCTGAGCCATCTCTCTAGCCCATATTTACATTTGCTAAACAGTAAGGTAATAGTTCACTTCTTTAAAATTTAATTTCTCAAAATATAGGGGTTGAGAGAGATGATGGCTCAGTGGTTAAGAGAGCATAGGACTCATTAGTGGACCCAAGTTCACTTCTTAGTTCCCACATAGGGTGACACACAGTCACCTCAGACTCTGGCTCCACAGAACTCTACCTTCTAGCTACATGTACCCACTCACTTCTCTTACTGCACACAACCACAGACAGTCGTACATATAAATATATATATATTGTATATATAAATATGTAGCTCATGAGCTACACATGCTGGCATACCTATGAGAGGGTGAGGCAGGGGATCATGAGTTCAAGGCTAGCCTGGGAATAATGAGACACTTAAAAACTAGCAATAAAAACTAGTGACTAAAACATGGAATTCAAACTGAGGAATAATATTATATAGAGTAACTATTCTAATTTTTCAACATTTTCAGACATTTTTCTTTGATTTCTATGCTAATATTAAAAGTGGCCAAAATTTACATTTTGACATTTGGATTTTAAAGGATTAGATTGCCTTCAGCATTGCTTTTTGGGCTGTTAGATGTATGGTGGATAATTGAAGGCTTCAAAGTCACAGTGAACAACTTTGGAAAACATGCAAAGTTGAAACTGTAGGAGAAAGGCTGTCAGTCTGCTTTCTGATGACATCTGCTTATGCAGCTGTTGACTATAGTGCCTTCTCTTTCTCTTTTTCTTTGCTAAAAGCAAAGAACAATTTCAACATTTGTGAATTTTATTGTTGAACTTTGATATCTGTAATTGCACTTAGAGTAGAAATCAGTACAGGAGCATTAGTCTTCAAAGATGTATTCTTGTGTGTGCCTGTGCATGTGTGCACCTGTGCACAATGTGCTTGTGTAGCTGTACCTGTGTGCACACAACAGCTTAAGTAGCCATACATTCTGAACAAGTTACTTGGGGCCATAACATATTTATATAAAGTACAAATAAAGCTGTATGAAGAAGTTTGTTGCAACTTTTAATCTGAACAAGAATTTGTTACCAAAGTAATTGATTAGGTTGTTTTGTTTTTGATGAATTTGTTGTTGTTTTTTTTTTGGGGGGGTGAGGGGTGGTGGGTGGGCACAGGAGAGAAGTCAAGAGAAGTGTTACTTTAAAACTATTTATAGTTATTCTGACTCTGTTTTTCATTATAGACTGTTTATGTATTCATTTTTCTTGCTTTATAAAACACTAATAAGTATTAGTTTAGATTCTTATAACTCTTTAGAGTTCTTCTATGTTCAGGACTCTGGTTTTTAAAAGAAATCCTAAAAAATTACATTTTAGTGTAATTAAAATAGACTCCCCCCCCTTGCACTTGTATAACCTATATAAAGCAAGTTTTTATTATCTACATTATAATTGGAAGTCAGCTTTTTTTCCCCAAGTAATAAGAAATCATCTTGTTGGTATGTTGTATGTTAGTTTTAAGTGGCCGAGTGAGAACTGCCATCTCCCTGACATTTGGAGGTGTTTTGTGTGAGTTGTACTTTAGGAAGCCACAGTTCACATAGTGTACATAGTTCACAGGTGTGTGTCCTTGCTCCTTCACGTTTGGTTAGTAGTGTGAGTGAAGACTCCACAGTGCAGTGTGGATGTCGGGTAATACTGCTGTGTACCGGAGATCTGTCTCTCCCACCCTAACAAGCACTTCCCATATGCACCCCAGACTGTTCGTAGATCATTTGTTTTTTCTGAGTAAATCTTTATATTTAAATTTTCATGCATTTGTTACTACTTTTATAAGAAACAAACCTATGTTTTTGTGAGAGCATTTATTAAATGTCATCCTAATGAATTTAGTAGGAAAAATGTCCTGGTTAGGACTATTATTTTTTAAGGTCATTGTTTTGATTGGTTTAAATATTGACCAAATTTTACCAACTTTGTTTTATTAAAAAAAAGTATTTGATATTTTTTAGATTATAAATTTATATGGTTAACATTCTGTTTTTGAAAAATATACTATAGATTTATTTTTTAATTTTATTTTTGCTTTTGAGGCTAGATCTCTAGTCCAGGTTGGCCTTTAATTCTGTGTAGTAGAGGACAAATGAGTTTTGAACTCGTAATCCTCCTGATTTTCTACCTCTCAAGTGCTGGGATTCTAAACATGTACCACCATGCCCGATTCATGTGGTGCTAGGAGCTGAACCCAGGGCTTCATGCGTGTTAGACAAGTACTCTACTAATTGAATTAGACCTCCAGTCTCCCCCAACCTCCTTTTTGAGTGATAGTCTTGATATATCCAGAGCTGACTTAAACTCACTGTTTAGCTAGGCTGGTCTCAGGCTCATGGCAGTCTTCCTGCTTCAGCATCATAAGGGCTAATGAGCCAGCCTGTCCATATTCTATAGATATTTTTATGTTTCAGAAACTTAAATTTGTTAAATGTAACTTGCAGAAAATTACTAAAATCAATGTGCAACTTGATTAACAAGTTCAGTGGCTTATAAATACCTCTAATTAAACTACAGAACTTTCCAGGGACCCTCAAGCTCTACCTAGCTGCTGTTTCTTCCCTAAGAGTGTATTCCTGTCCAAATTGTTAGAGAACGAACTTTCATAATACTTTTTCATGTGTGTATTTTCTCAGAGTAGAGTTTTCTGTGGCTTGTATCTATGCGCTGTATTGTAAGAGAGATGCACAGGAACCAAGGAAGTCCGTAGGGTGGCAGTGGTGTGCACAGACACCTACACCTACCAGGAAAGGTTACTCTCCACGTTATTCTCAATTTTCCCTCCAAGTTTAACTATGAAACATAATTTTTCCTTTATGTTTTTGATTCATCTTTTCCCTTCATTGTAATTTAATGATACAAAACTTAATTTCCTACAATGGACAGAAATAGACTACCTTTTCAACTATTCAAAGAAATGAAATTATTCCTCAAAACTTGAGCTGAATGACTTTTCTCTTTTTCAGAATTAACGAGAAATACAGCTTTGTCCGAAGAGCTAGATTCTTCCTACTCTTTGTTTTTAGACCCAAGGTTTGGCTTCTTACACTATTTAACAGCTCACTTGCATAAGAGCTGCTTGCACTGCAGTGCTGTGACTTGTGAGAAGTCCTTGATTTGTTGGTTACTCGCTTACTTTAAACTGATGTTGTTACTTCCATGTGTTCTGTGGATATTGTTTGTAGAGACTCTTTGTAAGTGCCAAGTTTGTATTGCTTGTTCATTTGTAACCCTTGCTTTCTGTTTTTCTCTTTAAAGAATGTGAAGCTTTCTGCTGAAGTAGAGCCGTTTATTCCCCAGAAGAAGAATCTGGATGCATTTGTGCTCCCCATGGCTCTCCCAAGTGATAATGGAAGTGTTTCTGGGGTTGAACCAACTCCAATCCCCAGTTATCTGATTACTTGTTATCCATTTGTTCAGGAAAACCAGTCCAATAGGTAATTTCATTATTCTTTATTGGTGGAGAGATAGAACTTGGCAAAGTACTTTAGTTTTTTTCTTTTGTAACTTTCGAAGTTTAATCATTTATTTGTATTTTTTAAGAGGAAGTAAAACTATGCAGAAATTTGAAAGCTGTCAACATTCATTATTTTCTTATTCTTTCTAAGAGGAAATGCATTTTTCTGAAGATGTCATTGAAATATATTGCAATATAGTGACCCAGGGGATACATGTAATACAAGAAACCTTTTTGTTGAGATTAGGTGCTTACTCTCATAACAGCCAGGACAGTGTCTGGCACAAGAAGAAAACACGAGGGACGGGTGTAGAGAATCCATGGTTGCTGAGTGCTCATCTGGTAGTTTCTATAATCTAGCAAACTTCCCACAGCTCAGATAGCACATGCCTGGTAGCATGTAGGGTAGAACTTGTGGGAGTTATGATCTGCTTGCTGACTCTTCCAGGCTGATGGGAAACTCACAGTTCATTGCATTGCCATATAGACATACTTTCCGCCTCTTTCAAGTTATGCCACATACAGGAAATGTGGGATGAATGGGGGAGGCTATGTGTCCACAGCCCGTTGTGGCCCACTTGTAATTCTGGATGTATGATTTATGAGGCCATCAGACTACCTCGTGAAATAGAAATGCCCCAGTGAATATTCTGAGTTTCTTACTGCAGACTTTTCAAGGTACAAACAATAGCAACTACGGAATCCTCAGCTGAGCTTGGACTTCATTAACAATCTTTGAGTTCAGCTCCTGTGCTGTCAGCACTGGAGAGGTAGAGACAGAGGCAGGAGGATCATGAATTCAAGGTGCCTTTGCTTCATGAGATTCTGTTTGGTTTTGTTTGTTGTTGTTGTTGTTGTTGTTTTAAAACATCGCACTATCAAATAATGTAAAGTTTTTTATAGACTAAACATAATAATATTAGTTTTCTCTGTAGCAAAATAGCCATGCTCAATATGAGAAATTTGTTTTCTTGCCTTAATGTGAGGTAGTTGTTAAGAATTCATGAGCAAGCTATTCTTCAGAGTATCTAAGTATTGTTAGGATTTGGTAATAAACTTTTCCTTCTGTTTTGCTTATCATTGCAAAAGTGAGGAAAAGAACCCCTCATTTCTCCACGGCGACTGTTCAGGGCACTGCTGGGACAGGACATTGCTGGTGCTGCGAAGACTTCCTGGCTTCCCTGGGTATGGGTCTTAGGTTGCCAAGAAGAGCCAAGGCAATACCTGAGTTGGCTGACTGATTAGGGACTTAAGAGCAGGTGTTGGGGGCCTCTTTGTAAGGGTCAGCTGTTACAGTGTGGGCATTGGGGACGGACTGTGAGCTGCTGTCATGTGGACCCGAGCTATATGTTTCACTTTTAGGCAAGCAGATCTTGAAGAGTTTGAGGGCAGGTTGGGAAACAATAAATGGATGTGGAGTGTGGCAAGCTCTCAGGCTGGATTCCCTTATGCTGCCATGCTGATGGGTATCACAAGTGCAGGTTATCTCATGACAGCAAAGAAAGCAGATGGCGTCAGTGGTGCCTCTCTTCTAGGAGTATTGTGAAGGCACTGTTCTCTGTGTCTTCCTGTTTGTCCTGCTTTGACATTACTCTTGACTTTCAATAAATTTTTTTCTCTCTTGTTTGGTTTTGCAGACAGTTTCCTTTATATAATAATGATGTACGATGGCAGCAGCCCAGCCCGAGCCCTGCTGGACCCTACCTTGCCTACCCCATTATATCTGCTCAGCCGCCCGTTTCCACAGAGTACACCTATTACCAGCTGATGCCGGCACCCTGCGCCCAAGTTATGGGCTTCTATCATCCTTTTCCCACACCTTACTCCAGCACCTTCCAGGCTGCAAACACGGTCAATGCCATAACCACAGAGTGCACAGAGCGTCCAAATCAGCTGGGGCAGGCCTTCCCGTTGTCCAGCCATCGGAGCAGGAATGGTAACAGAGGGCCAGTAGTGCCAAAAGTGAGTGGCCACACTCTGTGTGTAGCTTTTAAATAGGATATTTCTGTTGTTAGTACTAGTACAGGTAATTTACTACTTGTACCCTTGGCCTTTAATGCTTAATTGCTACAAATTATTCATCACTAATAGAAAATGTTATAGGCATATTATTTTAAAAATTTTTTCTTGTGACATTTATTGTCCCTCTTGATTGATAATGTAATTTCAAATCATCTTCATGATCTTTCAGGGAGTTTTACGTAAACATAATTCACAATTATTTCTAAATTATTTTGATTTAGTGCTAAAATTGCACAGTGACAATGCCAACACTAAATGGATCACGTGGTTGGATGTTACTGTACCTCAAGCTGTTTCAGTCTTCTGAAATCAGCAGAAGAAGGAAAAAATGTTAGTGGATCCTCAGAGTCCTTCGACCACAGCGTCTGTATTCGAGTTGTTAGTGGGAATAGCACTTTGTTGATTAGGAGAGTAAAAAGCAAGTAAGGAATGAAGCCACTCCCATTCAAGGTCAGGACTTGATGTAAGTGTGTGTGTGTGTGTGTGTGTGTGTGTGTGTGTGTGTGTATATAAAAGATGTAATCAATGCAATGCTTCCTTTTCCATTGAGGGTTAATATCGAAGCTGTAGGAAAAGACTGTTTATAGTCAACACTGCTCACAAGAAGACATTTCTGTCACACCATCAAGAACTGTTGCGCTCTCCAGACTCCATTAGGTAGTTTCCTCAGGAAAAAGTTTTTGCTGCATTTGGCATAATTATTAAAAATGAAAAACAAGCAGCAGAGATTACCTTGAAAAGATTTTGTTCATGGAAATGCTGTGAGTCAGGGGAACCACCAAGAATGAAACCACCAAGAATGAAAGGAAATAAGTTGAAAAGCAAGACAGTAGTGTATAGTCTTCAGGCGTTGGAAGAGTAGGATGTGTCGGAATGCCTTCTCGGCAGTTCCAGTGTAGAAACGTGAAGGTAAGTTCAGAGTTCTGGTGTGAAAATTGCTGTTGAGGAACAATTACTCCTGTTTTAAAAAGCTGAAGAAAAAAAATAGCTTTTTAGTATTTTCTGTTTGGACTCCAAGGCAGAAATATTTTGCTCATCTTTGTTATGCACCTAAATTTAGTGACGGTAATTTTTCACAATTTTATTACCTTTTAAAATAAAAATGTAAAACCCTTTATGTGGCACTATTGAAATCTTGTTACTTGTTAATAATTGATTTAAAAAATAAAAATTCAGATAAAAGCTAAACTGAACTCAGGTTCATTTTAGTGAGGCCCTCGGCATAGCTGCTGGGAGTCAACCACCTGTCCTCTGCGAGAGCAGGAAGCAGTTTAAAGCGTCGCTGCAGTCCTTACAGTATTCTTTTGAGACAGGTTCTCAGTATGTAGCTGAGCTGGTTTTTAGCTCACAGGGCAGAGACAGAATCCCAAACTAATCAGAGTGTTAGTGGTTATCTAAAAACATGTGTGAATGTGCTTATGGTACGTTATTTAGCCTCTGATGCTTCTTAGTGAATAATCCCACAAAGCCAGCAGAGAGCCTCTGATCTGTGGTGCACATTTAGATCTGTCTGTGATGGATGTGTAGTTTATGTTTAGTACACTCAGTCATGTGCTTCTTTTTTTTTTCTTTTTCCTTCTGGTCTTTTAAACTTAATTCAGCCACAACTTTTACAACAGCATATAAAAAACAAAAGACCACAGGTGAAGAATGTGGCTACTCAGAAAGAAACAAGTGCAGCAGGTCCTGATAGCCGATCAAAAATTGTGCTTCTGGTAGATGCTTCACAGCAAACTGGTAAGGCAGTGATCTGCTTGTTTATTTACTTGATTACTCTCCGTGTGTGGGGAGATGTGTGTAGGTCAACATTGATGCTGAATGTCCTCTGTTGCTTTCCTTCCTTCATATTGAGACAGGGACTCTCACTGAGCCTGGACCTTGCTGCCTTGGCTAGCTTGTGTTTCGGATTTTGTCTCTGCCTTGTGAGCACAAGACCAGCTCAGCTATATGCTGAGACCCCATCTCAAAAGAATATTGTAAGGACTGTAGAGATCACTCAGTGCTTAAAAACCACTTACTGTTCTTTCAGGGGACAGGTCATTGACACCCAACAGCCATGTCAGGTGCCTATAGCTACTACAACTTCATGGAGTCTGACATCTTCAGTCTCTGTGAACACCTGCATTCATAGGCACACTACCCTTCTCCTATTAAAAATAAATTAAAAACATTTGTAAATGTCACAATGAAACTCATTATTACATATAAGTGATATATGTTCACAAAAACTTTTTAAAAATACCATCACATACAAGAGAATCCCCCAAACAAGGTCTGGATTGAAGTGAGTGAAGTAGCTTGTTGCTTTTCATTATGCAGTCTTTTTTTTTTTTTTTTTTTTTTTTAAAGATTTATTTATTTATTATATATGAATACACTGTAGCTGTCTTCAGACACACCAGAAGAGGGCATCAGATCTCATTACAGATGGTTGTGAGCCACCATGTGGTTGCTGGGATTTGAACTCGGGACCTCTGGAAGGGCAGTCAGTGCTCTTAACCACTGAGCCATCTCTCCAGCCCCATCATTATGCAGTCTTTTCTGTTGGATATTTAGTCATATAAGCAGAAAGAGAATCTTGGAATTAGTTAAAAGCCATCTTGCTGTGTGGTTTGTAGGGCATAAAGCAGTGTGTTTAATGGGCTGCCATGCCTGCAGTAGTTACGGGCAAAGTCATGGGTCCTAGAGCTATCCCTCCTCATAGTGACTCATTTCTACATACCTTTGTAAATCTTGGCAAGGTTCTTAAAAGCACTGCCTGAGCTAGGCGTGGTGACACATGCGTTTTTGTTTATTGAGACAGGAGTTTTCTATGTTGTCCTGGAAATTACTCTGTAGACCAGGCTAGCCCTGAATTCAGAGATTTGTCTGCCTCAGCCTCCAAGAGCCAGTGTTAAATGCAAGGGCCATCATGTCTGGCTTTGTTTTTTTGGGGTGGGGATGGAGTGGAGTGGGGCATATGTTTTTAATCCCAACCCTAAGGAGACAGAGGCATGTGGATCTCGAGTTTGAGCCTAGCCTGGTCTACAAAGCCAGCAGTTCCAGGATAGCCAGGTCTACATATAGAGATGAGAGACAGAGAGAGAGAGAGACATGATAGAGAGACAGAGAGAGAGAGACATGAGAGAGAGAGACAGAGACGGGGTTGGGGGGAGAGAGAGGACTCTTTGTTGAGTCTCCTGAAAGCTCAGAACTGGAGGCGTGATTGAGTAGACTGTATATGCCAGGAGCCTTTTAGTCCTTGTTTTTAACTTCTAAGGACTGCCTGGCATCAGTAAAAGATAAAAATTACTTTGTTTTGTAGATGTTGGTTTTACTTTTGAATAAGTATAAAATGATTATTAACATTCTATGTATATTAGTTAATGCTGGAAATTAATATGGCAGTTTTTCCTCAACCAGCTTGTTCCCCAAATAACCACACAGTTGCCTTATCTGGGCAAACTCTCAACCAGTTGATCTAAGTTAACCGAGTGACCACCTAGTCCCATCTGCCACATGCTTAGCTATACCTTCTATGCCCATCATCATGTCCATTGCCTCTCATGTATCCTGCCAAAAAGAACTTCCTTTTTCTTCTTCCCAGCATTCCTTTGTGTCTTCCAGGAAGTTCTGCCTTCTATTTCCTGCTCAGCTAATTGGCCATCAGATTTTTACTAAAGCCAATCAGAGAATGCCTTAGGTAGGTGAGGAAGGACAGAATCACAAGTTCACACAGTGTACCCCAACAACCAAGCTTGTGTTATTGTGTAGTAAGAATGTAAGGTGGCCCTGAGTCAGAAGGGGACTCAGCAAGGGTAGGTTTTTGCTGCACTGCCTTCATTTGATATGCAGTCCGTACGGGTAGATGAGGAGGACCAGCCCCCACAAGTTGTCCTTGACCCTCCACTCACACTGTGGCACTCATGCCACAGTGCACACGTATAATAAAGTGATAAGATGTTTAAAAACCAGTTGTCTGGATCTGAGGTAGTCTGCAGCGTTAGCTGTGTTCCTGTACGTTACAGTTAGAGAGGCAGTGTCAGCTCTTGGTGTGTGTGCATCAGTGGGCATGCTTATTTATTACCGTTGGGATGTAGGTTGTTTTAACCACCTTGACGACTATTGATTTATCATTACCAAGTCTGAGTCTGTGTGTCCTGTAAGACCCATTCACATTTGCCCTACAGCAACTTCCAAGTGTGCACAGTAATAGTCAGGAGGCCCAGACTGCTAACTTTCACTGAATTCCTTCTTTAACAGTTTATGCACACATTTTGATTATTATGCCCCCCACCTCCCGCCTCCAATAAACAGTGGGTTATGTATTTGTTTTGAGATAATTACTCCCACTCTCCTGGGGAGCTCAGGACCTGAGCTGTTTACTTTTTTCTCTTCTACCTGGCATAGAATTTGATGGCTGATTCTTTGTTCTCTTGAAATAAACCAAGAAAAACTGTAAAAAAAAAAAAAAAAAAAAAAGGATTTGATTTGAGATAATTACTCAGTGTAGCACTAACTGGCCTGTAACTCAGCTCTGTAGACCAGGCTGGCCTTGACTCACAGAGATCCTCCTGCCTCTGCCTCCTGAATACTGGGATTAAAGTTGTATGCCATCATGCCCAGCCAACAATGTTTTTTTAATAGCAAAACAACCAAAGCACACTGAGTGGTAGAGAGGATAAATGCATTGGCATAGCCATGCAAAAGCAGTCTGTCCTACAATGGCGGTAATTAGTTAGCTCCCTGCAGCCGAATGTTAAAACTAATGTGGCGGGAGCTAGGAATAAGAAAATATAGCTATATTTTAGTAATACAGTCAAAAGCTGTAAAAGTACATGATTTCTGTTTTAGAAATATGAAAATCCATGGAAAATCCAAAAGGAAAAGTGAGTAAAAACTGAACACAGAGTAGTGGTGAGGAGAGGGAGGGAGACCGCTGGGCATATGTGGTGGCCACACAAGGTTAGCCATGGTCTCTCTCTCTCTCTTTGGGGGGCGCGTTTCAAGGCAGGGTTTCTCTGTGTAGCCCTGGCTGTCCTGGAACTCACTCTGTAGACCAGGCTGGCCTCGAACTCAGAAATCCGCCTGCCTCTGCCTTCCAAGTGCTGGGATTAAAGGCATGCGCCACCACTGCCCAGCTCAATTTAGTATTATGATAGAAGTATTTTATTTTTATAATGACACTGTGTTACAAGTTGTTAGGAACATTTTTAAATGTTTTTTTTCAAAGAGTCACATATTTCTCTGTTTACAAACTCTATCCTTTTAATTAATAATTTAACAGTGTATAAATTTGGTCATCATGGAGAATTGTCCACTTGCCTTGTAGATTTCCCATCAGACATTGCCAATAAGTCTCTCTCAGAGAGCACAGCCACAATGCTCTGGAAAGCCAAAGGCAGGAGGAGAAGAGCATCCCACCCTGCTGTAGAGTCCTCCAGTGAGCAGGGGGCCAGTGAAGCTGACATCGACAGCGACAGTGGTTACTGCAGTCCCAAGCACAACAACCAGCCTGTACCAGGGGCTCTGCGTGACCCTGCCTCTGGGACCATGAATGTGTGTAATACCTCTTGTGTTTGTTTGCTTTTTGTTAGTCCTGCTGTTAGTACTGTGTCCTTTGCTGAAGCTGAAACATTCTTTTTTTTTTTTTTTTTGAGCAATTCTTAGTAATCATAGTACTTTACTATTCTTAAAAATATAAAGCACTTGTTCTAAGTAATAATATATTTAATACTAGGTTAAATTATGAAACATTTGCAAAGTATGTCATATTGACATAATTAGAAAGTAATCATTCTCTCTGTTTTGTGTTTTTTAGCATTTGGATTCATCGGGCTGTACAGGTACTTACTTTTTACAGTTTTTTTTTCTTCTATGTTTTTTATTCTTTGTTCATTCAAGTTTTCCTTTAAGTGTGCAGCTTACCAATGTTATAATAAAAACTGTAAGTCTCCAGTGATTCAAGTTAATTGAAAAGTATATATAGTATTTCCAAACACGTTGGGAAAATGTGATGTAGACTGTTGTGCAGGATGACACTTGTGTTACTAAGAGTGCACATGCCGTTTTAAACTTACAGAAAAATTCCATGTCTGTAGTGACTCAGCTGTTTAGATTTTGACTTTCTTTATCAGCAAATCTTATCTTTACTATCTTTACATATTTGATACAGGTGGTGTAAACTGGCCCAAAGTAACTTGCCAGGCAACTCAGAAAAGACCTTGGATGGAAAAAAACCAGGCATTTTCTAGAGGTGGAAGGCAAACTGAACAACGAAATAATTCACAGGTACTTTGAATGATATTGGAAATTTGAGGTGTAAGATGGATAAATTAAAGTTATCATAATAATGATGTAGCATTTAGGAATCATAGTATCCTTAAGTTTTAAAGATGCAAAGAGTTATCTAAATGTGAACTACTGTGGCCTATTGATAAGCACGAGGACCTGAGTTTGAATCCCCAGCACCTCCTTAAAATACTCTCAGGTAGCAGTGCACCTCTGTAGTCGCAGAGCTGGGGAGGCAGCCGCCTTAGCTGAATTGGTGAGCTTCAGCCTCAGTGAGAGAGGTATCTCAAAGAAATAGGGTGGAGAGGTACAGAGGAAGGAACACACATATGATTGTATAGTTGGCATGCCCCAGGCCCTGAGAGAGCCTGTCTTAAAGAAACAAATGTGGTGGTTTTCTGAGGAAGGACACCTGAGGTTTCCATCTGAGAACATGAAGGCATGCACATGTGCACTCATGAACACATGCAGGTATGTCACACACACACACACACACACACACACACACACACACACACACAGGAAGCTCCCATACCTATAACTTTTTAAATGCCTTAGCTAGTACGACACAAATAATGACTGGTAATGTGCTGCGTGAAGGTGGTAAGAACATGGATTAAGTGGTACCATGTTTCTACTCTGTGTCTAGGTAAGTATGCCATAACGTTCAGAAAAGGAAACCCTATCTACCTTTCACTTGCTGTGTCTGTTTCCTTCCATATCAAAACCTAGACTTGCTAAGAATGGCTGTTTAAGCTAGGCAGTGGTGGTATATGCCTTTAATTCTAGCACTCGGGAGGCAGAGGCAGCAGAGCTCTGTCACTTCAAGGGGACCCTGGTTTATAAAGCAAGGTCCAGGAGATCCAGGGCCACACAGAAACCCTGTTTCAAAAAACAAAACAAAAAAGAGTGAGTGGCTGAGCTTAAGGACTGTAGTCTGGTCTTTCGGTTCTAAAGGTGCAGTGGCTGTGAAGTTGGGACAACTTGTAGGATAAGGGTCAGACTCTGGTCACCAGGCTTGCTAGTGAACACCTTTGCCTGTTGAACCATCTCTTCAGCCATGGATATTTTGATGTGGCTTATTAACACTCTTGTACACTCGTGCCATTGTCACATTGATGGTTACCTGGTGCCACAGTGTGGCCAGACCGTGCAGTTGCCTGTCAGTCATGCAGAGTGGGCTGTGCACAGCTTTGCATCTACAGTGAGTGCATTTTCTTCCTTTGTTTTGAGGAGGATCTTGCTCTAGAGCTGAGGTGAGTCTGGGACTTGTTCTGCAGCCCAAGTTGCTCTGAACCAATGACCTTCCTGCCTTAGCCTCTCAAGTGCTGCCACCTGCCATGTGCCGCTCTGCCTGGCAGGTCTGTTTACTGTATGTTTTCCTCCTTCATTCCTAAAGCATTAGAGTCAGATTTTGAGAGTGTGTCGTCTGTCTACTACTGATGTTTCCTTGTCCTAAGATTTTTCTTCAGTATATATTTTAATTTTTCCCAAATAACAACTCCTTTTTAAGTCAAAACATAATGCTGCCCCTTTTGCAATTTCTAATTGTTTTCTAGACTTTAAAGGCTTTTAGAAGGCAAACTCTACAGAAAATATTGACCTCTATTTATACCAGTTCTTTGTGTGTGTGTGTTTGTGTGTGAGTGTGTGTATGTGTGAATATGTGTGTAATTCAGCAAATAACTTTAGAAGCCCTCCTTCCACCTCATGTGCATCCCAGAGATCAAACACAGGTCAGCCAGGCTTTACAGCCATTCTTCCTGTCATAGCCCTGGCTGGCCCTGACTGCACCGCCCTGCCTCTCTTGCTCTAGTTGGGGTTATAGGCTCTGCCACCTTGCTTCTTAGCCCATTTTCTTGAAGGCAAGGTTCTTACTAAACATTTTCTCTGGATGCTTTTTAGTCCAGGCTGGCCAAGGATAACCTTGAGTTTTTGGTCCTACTACCTCTACTTGTTTGTGTAATCTTTTTACTGTTAGCTCTTCCCATTCAGTTGGTTCTCTGGAGATGTTTTCAGGTGACTAGATTTACTAGCCATGCATGCCTCATGGCCAGCTAATGAATACTCTGCTGTCTGGTGGGTATAACCCCTTAGCAGGACTGTTCACCCCTTGGAGGACCTCAGGCTTATCAGGCTTTGGCTCTCGTGAATAAAGCTGGTAAAAATGCTCAGCTTCTGGGGGAGAAAAGACATACATCTGTCTTATCAGACGGTTTTAACTGTTGAAGAGAAGTTATCCACTTTGTAAAAGTCCCATGTGCTTTTCTGTATGTTTGCTGTTTCAATGTAACAGGTACTGGGAAATAATACTTTTTTTCTCAGGTTGGATTCAGATGCCGAGGACACAGTACTTCCTCAGAAAGAAGACAGAATTTGCAAAAGAGACAGGACAATAAACACTTAAACTCTACTCAGTCTCACAGAAGTGACCCAAATTCTGAGTCTTTATATTTTGAGGTAATTTTTCAAATTTTTTTTATAAACTATTCTAAAAACTTCATTAAGAAATTAATTTGGTATGTGATTGTGTTATAAATGCTGTCTTTTCATGTGTTAATAGGTTACCCTGTTAGATTATAAGTGGCGTGCTACACTAACTCATTGTTAGCTTTTTGTGATTCTTTGTGAATTTCGTATCATGTACTCTAACCCCACTCACCTCCCCATCCCTTCATGTTTATCCTCTGCCTTTGCAACCTCCCCCAAAGATTCACAGTATCGTGCAGTATACCCTTTTGTCATTTCAGTGAGTCACTGTCCAGTTAGAGGCCTCTGGCTTCTGCTACATTATTAATACTGGATCCTTACCCAGATTATTCTCAGATATCCTGTTGCCCTATGTCATGAAGGTCCTGCAGCTTTGGATCTGTCGGACCAACCCTCCAGCATATTATAGGGTAGCCTCTCAGACCCTGGATCTGGGGGCCTGGGAGGAAACTGAATTGGTCAGCCTGCCAGCTCTCAAGGCCATGTTTGTTTACTGTTGTTCCTGTTTGTTTGCATGTGGAAGCCAGAGGATAACCTTAGGTCTTGCCCCTCAGACACCATCCACCTCGATTTTTTTGACAAAAGGTCCCTCATTGGCCTGTGAGCCTCGTGGATCTGCCTGTCTTCACTTCATAGTACTGGGATCTCCATGCCTGCCACTGTCCAGCGGCTGTTACTTAGGTTCTAGGAATTGAATCAGCTCCTCATCCTTCCAAAGTTAGCACTTTCCCAAGCAAGCCATCTCCCAGCTCTCAGGACTTTATTTTTTAAAGATTTTATTTATGTATACGAGTACACTGTCACTGTCTTCAGACAAACCAGAAGAGGGCATCAGATCTTATTACAGATGGCTGTGAGCCACCATGTGGTTGCTGGGAATTGAACTCAGGACCTCTGTAAGAGCAGATGATGCTCTTAATCGCTGAGCCATCTCTCCAGCCCAGCTCTCAGGACTTTTAAACATAGTCTTTTCTCTGTTCTCAGATATGGGGCTTTGGGCAGAGCCCCATGATCTTAGATTGACCAGTCTTTGTTTTTACTACTTGTGGATTTTATGCAAGTTGAACATTTTTGTGATTGATAAAATGTTATTTCTGTTGTTTCTTTCAATGAAAGTTAAATTTAGTCTCAGAAGAAAAGTTTAAATATAAATATGACAATTTAATTATAGGCCATTTATATGATTTTTTTCCATTCAATCAGAAGAATACTGTCTAAGAAGTTAATTTGAATAAAAACATTTTAAACATTATTCTTATGATTGTATGTAATAAAGAATGGAATAAATTTTAAAATGACTACTAAACTGCTTAAAATCTTCTCCAAATTATCTGAATGTGATAAAATCCATTTGAATTTTTTGCAGTTACTTATCTTAGGATAGAATTCGTATAAAAATGAAAAAGTGGTTACAGAAATCTAAAGGATGGGTGGATGTGGACATGACTTCATGCTTAAATAAACAATAGGTTTAGCATGGGAAAAATAAAATGTCCTTTTTAAGGGTGATTTCAAATAGCTTAGCAGTAGGATACAAACATACATTATTTCTCTATCTTTCAGAACTGTCATGTAACAGTATAGAAGGTTTCTGTGCTGGAGAGGTTGCTCATTGATAGAGTGGTTACCTAGCATAAGTAAGGCCCTGGGTTTGATCCCCAGCAAACATATATGTGTACATGTATATGAGCACACACACACACACAAATGTTCTTACATGCACCCACCCACCCACATGGGTATGTATACACACCACCCCTTCGTAGAGTTAGCACTGAACATTTTCACTAACAGTGAAACGATTTCAGGATGAAGATGGATTTCAAGAACTAAGTGAGAATGGAAATTCTAAAGATGAGACTATTCAACAGAAACTTTCTTCAAAAGTAGTAAGTAGCTCCTTTCAAGATGGTAAGAAATTTGGGCTATGTGAAAAGAAGTCTTGGGGTTGGTATAAAGAATATAGGACAACATGGTGTGTTGGGACAGTATGTTCAGTGCTTACTTCCAGCACTTCCTCTTAAATTCTTACCACAGTTGTATGTGTATATGGGTGGGTGCACAGAGTGCTTGGGGAAGATGGAGGACAACTTGCAGGAGTTGGCTCTCTCCATCAAGAGAACCCATGTTTCAGTCTTGACAGCAGACTCTTGTACCTTTTGAGCCTTATTGTTTCTTTTTCTAAACAAAAGTAGTCTTGGGAAGTCTTCAGTTCTATTATTAGATGAGAAAACCTTAAGTACTGTTACACAATGTGCATTCTATATGGGAACTTCCCTAGACAAGGAGCACCTGTTATATTTAGACTTTGTCCCTTTGTTTCCTATTCTAGAATAGTCCTCCCGATTACCCTGTTCTTTATGACCCAAGTCCTCTGACTTTTGTCTACTTTTGTCCTGCAGAACCTGCCTCAGTCTGCATTGTCTTTTCTTACGGCTTGAATTCTGTGAAATGACTAACAGATGTGTTTCTCCCGTTTCATAGTTGGATGACTTACCTGAGAACTCACCCATCAATATAGTTCAGACTCCAATCCCCATTACCACCTCAGTTCCTAAACGAGCTAAGAGTCAGAAGAAAAAAGCATTAGCTGCAGCCCTTGCCACAGCACAGGAATACTCAGAAATAAGCATGGAGCAAAAAAAGTTGCAGGTATAAGTACTTTTCTCCACAGTTGTGGTTGTCTGCTGGGACATCCCTTGGTGGGATGGATTGGAGTACCAGTTACCATTTGTCAGACTTTCCCAGTCGTGTAAACTGAATCCTTTCTTATCCATCTTCTAGGAAGCTCTATCAAAAGCAGCTGGAAAAAAGAATAAAACCCCTGTGCAGCTGGATTTAGGGGACATGCTAGCTGCTCTGGAGAAGCAGCAGCAGGCAATGAAAGCTCGCCAGATCACCAACACCAGACCTCTGGCACATCCAGGTGAGCAGTTTGCTGCAGCCTTTAGGATATAGCTACATTCTTTTTCCCTTCTCTGTACTTGGCCCCCCACCCAAAGAGAGAATGTGGCTGCCCATGCCATGCTGAGCATGTTGATGTCTGAGAACAGCTTCCAGGAGTCTGGCTCCTTCCACCATGGGTCTGAGGGTCAGCTGATCTCAGGTCATCAGATCTGCAGTACAGACACTTAGCTGGTAAGCCCTCTTTCCCTGGCCCCATCCTCACTGGATTTTTTTTGTTTGTTTTTATTTGTTTTTCTTCAAGAGTTAATGTAAAAAAAAAAATCACAGGATATGAATGACAAGTGTTGATAGCTCTCTATGTGTTAATGAAACACTGATCCGGCTTCCCCCTGTTTAAACCAGATTTAAAGCTCAGTGTTTGATCCCCTACCTTTTCTTTAGAGGACTAGACATAGCACAAAGAGGAGGGAAGGGTACCAGTTAAAAGGACTAATGCTGAGAAGCAGAATTTTCTTTGTGTTCTGTTCCCAGATTGTCCCACTCCCAGGACTGTTGGATAGGTAAACGATAGGAAAGTGTGACGGTATCTGTTGCAAGATGCAGAGATCTGTGGCTGTCTCACTTAGTGGAAACCCTTGCTGTAAGGCCTTGGTAGAGGTGGTAGTGGATGCAGAGTAGCAAGTGCCTATGGAAGCATAACCCTGCAGCTCAAGCTGGGGCTACAGTCAGGCTGCTGAGATCGGAAACCTGTTCTTGTTTCTTTAGGAACATACTTATCTTCCTGTCCTTTAGTTCTTTCTGTTTAGCTGGAGTAGTGGTGGTGGCTGCGTCAAGGTTGTCGGGGGCGTGAGATGACAGATGTAAAGTGCTTAGAAACTGGGTTATAACCACACAGCAAACTAGTGAGTGTTGTCACAAAGAAGAGCTTGTTGACCTGTGACCATTACAACTTAGCTGGGGTTTTTGTTCTTGTTATTGCTGTTTTTGTTTTGTGAGACAGGGCTGAAGGAATCTCTCTGCCTTAGTTTCCCAAATGCAGAAACTACTGGTGAGCCACCATGCTCTGATATCTGTCATTTTAACAATTTATTTTTCTTTAGTTGCAGGGAACTAAACCCAGGGCCTTGTGCTTGGCTAGGCAGACATTTTAGCTTTGAACTAAATCTCCAGCCTTTTTCTAATGCTGGGGCTTGAACCTAAGGTGTTATGCAAAGGAGGTCAACTCTCTGCCACTCAGCTACATCCCCAGTTCTACAGCCTGTGATTGATGCAATAGAAATAATGCTAAACAAATCTGAGTATCAGTATATAAAATGTGCTGTCTGGAGCTTTGGGATTATGGAGATGATGAAGACAGTCCTACTCACAAAACACATAGCTCACTCAGCTTTGAGCTGACTCATCAGTAGGATCTTACTCTTGCAGAAGACCTAGGCTTAGTTTCCAACACTCAAGTAGTAGCTCACATCCATTCATAACTTCTGTTCCAGGGGATCTGATGCCCTTCGACAAATATCCACATTGTGCACATTTATCCATCCATCCATCCATCCATCCATCCATCCATCCATCCATCCATGTAAAACATTCATACACATAACATAAAATAAATCTCTTTTTCAATAATTTATTTTTTGAATTCACTTTATATCTAGATTACAGCCCTCTCCCTTCTCTCCTTCCAGTCCTACCCTTACAAAACCCTCTCACATTGCCCCCTCCCTTTCTTAGAGAAGGGGAAGTTCCCCTTGGGTACCATCCCACCCTGGTACATCTAGTCCCAGCAGGACTAGGCATATCTTTTCCCACTGAGGCCCAACCAGGCAGTGGCAGAGAACAGAAACCAACACAGTCCCCCACTCCACTTATTAGGAGACCTGCATGTGAAGACCAAGCTGCACATTTGCTACAAATGTGTAGGGGGCCTAGGTTCAGCTGCTGCATGCTCTTTTGTTGGTGTTCAGTCTCTGTGGGCTCCCATAGCACCAGGTTAGTTGACTCTGTGGGTCTTTTGTGATGTCCTTGACTCCTCCAGCTTGTTTAATTCTATCCCCCACTCTTCTACAAGGCTCCCCAAGCTCCACCTGATGTTTGGCTATGGGTCTCTGCATCTACCTCTATCCAATGCTGGGTGAAGCTTCTCTCAGGAGACAGTTATGCTAGGTTCCTGTCTGCAAGCATAGCAGAATATCATTAGTAGTGTCAGGGGTTAGCTCTCTCACATACATGGGTCTCAAGTTGGGCCAGTCATTGGTAGTCTTGTAGAATAGACACACATAAATACCTGATCAGTAGTGGTATCTTAGGAGAGATACATCAAGTTCTGTGAGCCTGTAGAAGGGAGTGGTTTATGGCAGTAGTTGAAGAGAAATAAAGGTTATAAGTGACTTCATGGAAAGCAGTGTTTGACTGGACTTGAAGAATGAGTTGGATTCCTGACAGATAGAAATGAGACTCCCTTCTATTCCTAGTCTTTATTTGAAAGTATTGAATACAAAGAACGCTGTTAGGGACCTTAAGAAAAGAATGGGGTGAACGTTTGTAAGGGCTTGATGGAGTGTAGAATAGTAGGCTGGAGAAGTAGGTCGAAGACAAGTGCAGGGTGTTGGAGGGATGGCTCCATCACTGAAGCGCTTTCCACATGAGCATGAGGACCTGAGTGTGGCTCTCTAGTACTATGGAAAAGCCAGGCATGAATGGCAGTGCACACCTAATCCCAGTGCTAGAGACACAGAGACCAGCATATCCTTCAGCTCATGATCCTGCTAGTGTAGGAAAATTGCTGAGAGAACATGTCTTAAGCTAGAATTGACAGTGATTGGGAAGACGCACAACACTGTAGCCGCCCGTTCTGCTGCTCCGGTCCGCGGGTCAGGGCCTAGCAAGAGAGAGAGTGGGGACGGAGACGCGAAGAATGGAGACAAGACAGGGAGTCGGATCAAGTCTCGTCAAGTCTTGTTTATTGGAAGGAAATCCTGGGTATTTATACCCTTTACCACGTGCCCTCGTGGACAAGCACAGCTGAAGGCACTACGTCATGTGCCTAGCAGCGTGGATATCACGTGCACCTAGCTAGCAGTGAGGAGACCACGTGCACCCAGCAGCGTGGATATCACGTGCGCCTTGGAGCTGGTGGCACTAAACAGCAAAACAAGATATGTGAGAAAAACAAGATGTTTATCAGAGTGTGCTCAGTTGTTTCAGGCTGTTGAAAACAAGTCTCTTGTCAAGGTATATGGCCTGAGATGGCTGCAAAGATGATAGCCGCTTTCGGCTAGGAGTCGGCTCCCAACACACCACCAACATGGCTTCATATGGATATGCACACATGTGCAGGCACACCCTCACACACGTACCATGCCTGTGCTCTCTGGCTTAGTGATGAGTGCTGTGAGGATACCACAGTGACATAAGGAGAGTTGACAGTGGCCTTGGACTTGAAATGCTAGCAGTGAAGGCCCTGGTGGTTCCATTTGTCATGTGTTTATACATGTGTAGTTGAGGCTCAAAGTCGGTTTAGTTAAAATGAGGGAGAAACTCTTGGAGTGGCCAGGTTCCAGGAACAAAAGGAAGAAGAGCCAGACCAATACATATGAATGAATGAATGAATGAATGAATGATGTTAGAAGAGGCCTGGGGAGAATTTTTGACGATTGGGAAATTGTATTTGGCAACTGCAAAGTTCTATTGGATCTTGACAGTATACTTACAAGAGAATGGGTAGGGCCAATGCCAGATGGTGGTGGTTTGGAAAGGAAAGGGGTCAGAATGGTGCTGACTAGTTTTACTGGGAAGAGGAGCAGTAAGAGCACCATAGGCTGAAGCAAGCCAGTTATGGGACTAGGCTTTGGGTTTGCCTCCCAAGCCAGCACTTATTTTAGATGGGAGGGGGCACTCAAAAGAGATTGGGGTGGGGGAATGCATGAGAAAAGGGACAGAACAAGGTCCTACAGGAATGAAAGTGGCATTAGGAACTGAGGTGGTAAGTGGGCCTTGGGGTAAGTGGGACAGGAGGAAGGATGTCTGTCCTCTATTTTTTTTTTCTTTTGTAATTTCGGCAGTGTCTTCTCAAGGAAATGACAAACATTCTGGTAGAGAGGAGGGATGGAGATTTGGATGCTTAGAAATGCGGAAGGATCAGGGCTGAAGAATGAGTGTCTGAGCAGGGTGTAGCAGTTGCTGGGTAGCAGGAGTGTCAGTGTTCCTTCTGACTTTGGAGGAGATCTGAGGAAAGGAGCCATAGGCTGCACAAGTGTGTGAGTAAGGTGAGGAGTTGGCTCTGTAGGAGTGAGGAGAACACAGGTAGGCCAGGCTGACTGGAATCCAGTTGTCGGGCTTATTTCAGACCTGTCAGTTGGCTGACTGCATTGACTTACCTTCCTCCTCCTTGGGAAGTGAAAGACCTGGAAGGAAGTTGTGTCTGAGGGATGCTGCCCAGCCTGTCATTACACTGTCTTTCCTGTCTATTTCCATGGGAAGAGAATCCTTGTGTTTTTGAGGATTTATTTAGGAGACAGTCACATGTGGGGATTTGGCTGCAGTAGTAACACTAATGCTCTTGTTTGTTTTTAGTTGTCACCACAGCCGCTTTTCACACTAAAGACTCTAACAGAAAGACCTTAACCAAAAGTCAGCCATGTTTGACATCCTTTAATTCTTTGGACATTACTTCCTCTAAAGCAAAAAAAGGAAAAGAGAAGGAAATTGCAAAGCTAAAACGACCTACGGCACTGAAGAAGGTAACCCTGAGTCTAGAGATGTTTCTTTTATAGGATAATTAAAGGTTTACTTTTTATTTTTTATTTTTGCAAAATTAGTTATGTTTTAGGAAATAGATGTGATATATTTATACACATGGCTATATGTGACTGGTTAATTCAAAACCAGCGTTGTATGCAGTCTTCTTGTACATAAGAAGGTCCTGCAAAGTGAATTTTTCTATAATGTTTGAAAATAAGCAGTTAAACATTTCATATTCAAAGCATTAGACCCTCCTTAGGAATAAGTTCAGATCTTTCTTTCCTTTGCATTTTATGTGTATATGTGTGTGCAAGCATGTGTGGGCATGCTTGTATGGGGGCCTGCGTGTAGAAGTCTAATTATATCCAGAGTTTTCTCAGTTGCTCTTGACTCTATTCTCCCAAGGCCTCACACATCTGAGCCAGGCACTCTGCCTGCTAGCCAGCTAGCCCTGGACCTTGGTAACTTCAGTGTATGTTCTGTGTGAAGTAGAGCACCTGTAGGCCTACCTTTTCACCTTCGTCTTTTTTTTAACCTATAAATTGATGATGGTATCTGCTTTGGTTTGATGTTAGAGGGTCAGAATGAGTTAATCCATTCCTGAATAATTGAAAACTGCAGAGTGTAAATCACACAAACCGAATGAGCAGTTTTGGAAATCCTACTTGGTCACCTTGGATTTAAAGATGTGCCGTATTTGCTTATTTGCTTTAGCATCCTGCTTCCCTTTATTTGAAGACGGAGATAGAGGGCATGATTTTGTCTGTGACTCTTGGGATTCTCCCTGTATTCTGTGTACATCATTCTCTTCAGCTTAGTTTCTAAAATAAGTCACCTTTTTACAGATCACTTTCTGTGCCAGGTAACGTAGCCAACTGAGATCCTCATGGCTGTGCCTGTGTTTTAGTGTAACATTGGAAGAGTTTATTGAACCTATTTGAAGAGTAACTGGTAATTAAAGAATGGTATAATGGATTTCAGGTTATTTTGAAAGAAAGAGAGGAGAAGAAGGGACGTCTGACCGTGGAACACAGTGTTTTGGGAGCTGAGGAGCCATCAGAGACTCATTTGGACCTAGCCAATGACTTACCTCAGGAGACTGTCTCCCAGGAAGGTGAGGATGCCTGGCTGTGTCTCAAGTAGAAGTTGTACACTGTATTTTGTGTATGTTGATTTATGTGGTTTCTTTTGAAGGCAGATGGCTGAAAGGGTGGGCAGGTGTTGCATAGCAGGTCTCTAACAATTTGGAAGCTCAGATCCATCAACTGTAGTAACATGTCAGACATTAGGATCTTCTCAGTGCCTAGGACTCCTGAGATGGCCAGAAGAGTTCTTGCTCATCAGCCTTTACATATAGAACGCTATATATTGGTTATTTTTTTCATAGGACTGTTTTTAAATTGCTTTTATTGATTTATTGTTGGGGGGAGGATTAATACATAAGGCACAAGGAATAGAGAACTGCAGAACAGAGCAAAGATTCTATTCATATCCAGCACATACGATTCCAGCAAATAGGTTCCATCTGGTACAACAAGTAGCCAAACAGCATTTTACAGCAAGGTAAATCTGATTTGCCCAGATCTCAACCAGTGCTTTTAGGAAAGTTGATTTATTCCTGCATATTATTTATCTAGGACATAGTTTCTTGGGGGTTCCCCTTTATTCTCAATATGATTCTCCTTAGATTTATATATTGTCCATTGATCCATTCATCCCTCTGATGTTGATTTAATAGTTACCAATGTGTTCAGTAAGTGATAGAAGTAAGAGGCTGGCAAACCAACTGATCGAAGGCTGATATGATGGGTACAGAGGATGAACGTGTAATTTTCTAATTATTAGACGGAATATACAAACTTACTGCATTTACCTGTTGAAGACAAGCAGTAACTTACGAAGAAGCAGTAGGGTTGAGAGTTTGCATCTAGAAGTATGGCTACCTGAGCACAGATGAAAAGGCCAGATAAATAGGTGGGGTCAAGGAGACTCAGGAAAGGCTCGGAGGGTGGGCAGTGCTCTGTACAGAGTTGGAAGGGGTGACAAGGTGTGGGGCCTGGGGAGTCGGGAGGGTAAGCAGGTGCAGGATAAGGAGAGTCGGGAGCATGGATGACATAGATGGCCATTGCCAGCACCAGATAGAGTTAGAGAGAAAGGTGGAAGAAGTAGGTAGCTAAGTAGAGATATGCAATAATACTATACAGACAGGTACAGATCACCGGACATACATGTCATAGATAATTTTTCTTCCCTATCTCCTCAATGGAAACTTCTAAACTGTGCGTAGATTTTTCTTGGGTATGCTGTAATAGTAGTAGGAATACTTCATTCTTTAGTTTAGAAGAAATAATAATTTATGATAGGAAAATGCCTAATTTACTAGCTTCCAGAGAATTAGGGTACAGCCTGAAAAATTCTGTCATCTAAATTGTGTACGTACATTTGGAGCTTCTTAGCGTTTGAAGTTTCCAGGTTCTTCCCTTTCACCTCGCATCTCCACAGATACCGGACTGAGCATGCCCAGTGATGCTTCACTTTCTCCAGCAAGTCAGAACTCTCCGTATTGTATGACACCTGTGTCACAAGGCTCACCTGCTAGCTCTGGCATAGGCAGTCCAATGGCATCGTCAACAATAACCAAAATCCACAGTAAAAGATTTCGAGAGTAAGTTTTTTTTCTCTTTATTGAGGTTAAACAGTTGAAGGATCTTGTTTGTTCTGAATCTGTATCCTGGTTACCTGTAAGTCCAACAAGGGGATGTGGAAGTTGTGCTGTGCTTCCTCCTCTATTTAAAGCAATCCCTGCTGTCAGTGCCCTCGGAATGGGATTTCACAGTAATATGTTTTCTTTATCGCATGTGGTGCTTATCTCTCAGTATTCTGGCCTTTTATATTATATATATATATATATTGTATGTATGTATGTTATATATATGTGCATATAGAATGTAATGTTCTATGGGCTTGTTGTGCATTTTTGAAGTGCTAGAGATTGACTTCATAGCTTCCAGCTTCCTGGTCAACTATTTGACCACTGAGCTACACTGGTGTTTTTGTTTTGGTTTTTTATTCGCGCTAGTATTTTATTTTATTTGCTTTTGTTTTTTTTAATTTTTTTACTGGATATTTTATTTACATTTCAAATGTAATCCCCTCCTCCCCCCACCCAGGAACCCCCTATCCCATCCCCCCATCTCCTGCTTCTATGAGGATATGACCCTCCTACCCTCCCACTCCCACCTCCACACCTACGATTTTCCCCACACTGGGGCGTCCAGCCTTCACTGGATCAAGGACGTCCTCACCCACCTATGCCTGACACTGTCATCCTCCCCTACATATACAACTAGAGCCATGGATCCCTCCCTAAGTGCTCCCAGGCTGGTGGTTTAGATCCTGGGAGCTCTGGTTGGTTGGTATTGTTGCTCTCCTCATGGGGCTGTAAACCCTTTCAGCTCCTTCAGTCTTCTCTCTCACTCCTCCATTGGGAACCCCATGATCAGCTCAATGATTAGTTGTGAGCATCTGCCTCTGTATATTTCAGGCTCTGGCAGACCTCTAAGGGGACAGCTATATCAGCCTCCTGTCAGGATACACTTCTTGGCATCCACATCTGTCTGCCTTTGGTGACTGCACAAGGGATGGATACCCAGGTGGAGGAGTCTCTGGACGGCCCCTCCTTCAGTTTCTGTCCCACACTTTGTCTCCATATTTGCTCCCATGAGTATTTTGTTACCCCTTCTAAGAAGGGCCAAAACACCCACACTTTGGTCTTCCTTGTTCATGAGCTTCATGTGGTCTGTGAGTTGAATCTTGGGTATCGTGAGCTTTTGGGCTAATATCCAATTATCAGTGAGTGTATACCATGTGTGTTCTTTTGTGATTGGGTTACCTAACTAAGGGTGATATTTTCTAGTTCCATCCATTTGCCTAAGAATTTCTCGAATTCATTGTTTTTAATAGCTGAGTAATACTCCATTGTGTAAATGTACCACATTTTCTGTATCCATTCCTCTGTTGAAGGACATCTGGGTTGTTTCCAGCTTCTGGCTATTATAAATAAGGCTGCTATGAACATAGTGGAGCATGTGTCCTTGTTATATGTTGGAACATCTGGGTGTATGCCCGGAAGTGGTATATCTTTCTCCACATTCTCATCAGCATCTGCTATCACCTGATTTTTTAATCTTGGCCAGTGATGAGGGGTGGAATCTCAGGGTGGTTTTGATTTGCATTTCCCTGATGACTAAGGATGCTGAACATTTCTTTAGGTGCTTCTCGGCCATTCGAGTTTCCTCAGTTGAGAATTCTTTGTTTAGCTCTATACTCCATTTTTTAATAGGATTATTTAATTGTCTGGGGTCTAATTTCTTGAATTCTTTGTATATATTGGATATTAGCCCTCTATCGGATGTGGGATTGTTAAAGATCTTTTCCCAATTTGTTGGTTGCCATTTTGTCCTATTGAGGTCCCATTTGTCAATTCTTGATCTTAGAGCATAAGCCATTGGTGTTCTGTTCAGGAACTTTTCCCCTGTGCCTGGGTATTCGAGGGTCTTCCCCACCTTCTCTTCTATTAGTTTCAGTGTATCTGGTTTTATGTGGAGGTCCTTTATCCACTTGGACTTGAGCTTTGTACAAGGAGATAAGAATGGATCAATTTGCATTCTTCTACATGTTGTCCTCCATTTGAACCAGCACCATTTGTTGGAAATGCTGTTCTTTTTCCACTGGACAGTCTTAGCTCCTTTGTCAAAGATTAAGTGTCCACAGGTGTGTGGGTTCGTTTCTGGGTCTTCAATTCTATTCCATTGATCTTCCTGCCTGTCTCTGTACCAATACCATGCAGTTGTTACCACTATTGCTCTATAGTACAGCTTGAGGTCAGGGATGGTGATTCCCCGAGAAGTTCTTTTATTGTTGAGAATAGTTCTTGCTATCCTGGTTTTTTTTGTTATTCCAAATGAATTTGCAAATTGCTCTTTCTATCTCTATGAAGAATTGAGTTGGAATTTTGATGGAGATTGCACTGAATCTGTAGATTGCTTTTGGCAAGATGGCCGTTTTTACTATATTAATCCTGCCAATCCTAGAGCATGGGAGATCTTTCCATCTTCTGAGATCTTCTTCAATTTCTTTCTTCAGAGACTTGAAGTTCTTGTCATACAGATCTTTCACTTGCTTGGTTAGATTCACACTAAGGTATTTTATATTATTTGTGACTATTGTGAAGGGTGTCATTTCCCTAATTTCTTTCTCAGCCTGTTTATCCTTTGAGTAGAGGAAGGCTACTGATTTGTTTGAGTTGATTTTATAACCAGCCACTTTGCTGAAGTTGTTTATCAGGTTTAG